CGGCTCCGCAAAGGCCTATGTCTCCAATATCGCACATGTCCTTAACGACGAAACTCAGCGCAAGTACATACAGGTATCTGTGTGTTTTTGTGTGTATACGAAGATTCTCCAGTAAATTTTAGAACTGGGAATGACATGTTTAAGAGGTGCCCTCCACTGACCCCAACAGGGATGCTTAAATCTCCCATTCTGGCAAGTAATGCTGCATAGGCGTGAGACAAACTGTATACATTTCGGGGAGGAGGAGGGCGGGGAAAGAGGAGGGGGGGAGGTCGGAAGGCAAGGGATAGGTGTTAGCCAAATAGGCGCTAGTAGCTGAAAAGTCGCTGTTTAACGAAAATAGCGCTGAATTCGTTTTGAAAATGACAAATTGCGGTAAAACGAGAGTTTAGTAGACATCAGATTCAAGTCGCTTTTTTAAATATACATTCAGGGAGAACCTTAAAAGCTCCTGTCTTTTGTCACAAGTTTTATTAACATCGAAAGATTGCGCTCACTGATTTTCATTTTCGTTAGAATATTTTATTATATGTGTGAGAAGCGGCAGTAGCTCAAGTAATAATAGCACAGTGCCTGCAGTAAACCCCATCTGGCTGAACTATTGATGACTTCTTTTTCCGAGAAGCAGTGTGATGGCGCTGGTGACTTCTAGCGTTTGACCATAGCAGCCTTCGATCCCACTTGTGGAGCAGTTGGTTTCGTCAAACTTTCTTCATTCAAGCTTATTACAGGCATTCAAAAGGATAATGACACGCTGTCAAAAATATTTTCCGACAGATCCGAGCAAATGCGTGGAATATGTCCGTGAATCGGCAAGGGACTGATGTGTCTGATTGCATATGATGAAGAGCTGTTTCTTCAGAAATAAAAACTGTCTTTTTTCGGTGTATTTGTTGCCTTTTTTGACGGAGTATCCACGGACCGCTGCTGGCACATCTCTCCATACTGACCACACCCAAAAAAATATGAAGCCTTTTTTTTTCGTTAAATTATCTTTTGCGCCGAAAAATCGAGAACTGTTAACCGTGCCAGTGAAGGGCGGTTTGTTTGCAGCAATGGTAAGGCAGCATTTTTGTAGCGTCAGTCAGCTGGCCGACCAACATGAATAGCTTATCGGAAGAAACGGTGGAGTGGGGAAGTGAAGATGTACATTATTTGCTTGCACCCTATCAATGTATCAACAAAGTAGCGGGTAAAAAAATTCGCAGCCATCTAGCCACTGCCTTCAATTTTTGGTTGAAAGTGGACACGAGAACAGTGGAAGCCATCATCTCGCTGGTCGAAATGCTCCACAATGCATCGCTTATGTAAGTCTTGCCATCTCTT